TGAAGAAATAGTGAACGCTCATAGGTGATTTAGTGGTAATGGTGAGCAGATAATACAGAAAAGTCGAGAATCGGAGTGTATTTTAGACTCCACGAGAGGTCAGCCTGCCGCCGCCGCGGAGGTGCTCTCCGCGATGCTTTCGCTATGTATTTTTGCATTTGCATAGTTCATGAGATTTCCAACCGTCTGCTTTATACTTGCAGGTGTGAAGGCTATGAAAGGAATGGGCCCGATATTCAACTACTAGTATAAAACAACGCCCATTAACATAGAAATAATATTTATGAAAACCCATACCATCAGCAATCTACGAAAATTCTTTTCAGGGTGAATCCTTCTTTTGGCCTCAATTGTAAGATATTGTAAGGTTTAAGATTCTCGGCCAGACGGTGAAAGTAGGTCCTATTGAAGAAATACAGCAACCCGTCGAATAAGTACAGCTGCCATTCAAAAATACTGTCGTCCCATTGAATATTCTGGTTTGGAAAAATCCCAAGCAGATTCGCGTGATGCCAGAACTATGTGAAGGGACCGGGATCTTAATCGCACGACCATGTTGCTCTCGTAAAATCAGTTGCAATCGCGCGCGGCGAGGCGAGACATGGCAGCCGTGACCTCTCGTGGAGTCCTAACCTACACCCCTATCGAGGGCACTATTGAGTTCTGCCATTCACTGACTGAGTAATTCGTGATATCGGCTTCTCGATGTAATCTCCTACCCTACACTTACTTCACATTATTGCACCACTATTTGTTCAATTGACTTCCTCCTCTCTACTTTTCCGCCTCCTCTTCCTTACGGCGCGTTCACAGCTTGCGTTCGTGACGAAAATGCAGAAATGCGGAAAATGCAGAAGTGCGGAAAGTGCAGAAGTGCGGAATCTGCAGAAAAGCAATAGATACCTATCGACTTGAAGAAATGCAGAAGATGCCGAAACTGGCAGAAAGTCTGCGAAAGTGCAGAAATGACGAAAAGCATTACATACGTATCGATTTGAAGAAATGCAGAAATGCCGAAAGTGAAGAAGTGCATCTGCAGAAATGCCGAAAGTGCGCAAAAATCATATGATCGACGTTGCTTTTCTGCCACATTCCGCACTCTCGGCCACTTCTGCAGGTGCCCGCACTTCTGCAGTTCGGCATTTCTGCAGACTCCCTCACTTTCCGGCATTCTGCAGATTCCGCATTTTTCACTTTCTGCACTTACTGCAATTTCTTTCAAAATCGATACGTATGTAATGCCTTTTCGTCATTTCTGCACTTTCCGCGCTTCTGCATTTTCCGCATTTCTGCATTTCTTCACGAACGCAAGCTATGAACGCGGCCTTCCACATAAAAGAGGCTGCTGGATTGGAGCACAGCGCCGGAGACGCGGGCGGCACGCATCGCCTTTCGGACCCCCTGCCGCGCGGACGCATCCGCCACCGCCATGAAGAAAACCGCGCCGCATACGCGCATGGGTGAGTTTCCCCTCCTCCGAGTTCAGGAAGCTATCTGCCTCTAGCGACAGAGTTTGACCTGAAATTCAGTTTGCAGTTTGAAATGTTACAATAATCCTATTTCTCGACAAGATTGAAAAAACTTTATTAGGCCAACGCTTTCGATGTCATTCGCCTTCCTCGAGCCTGGAAATCCAAGCGTGAGCCATATCATTATCGATCGATACGGTTGGGTTGTTTTACTGGTTTAGTGAAATTGTCTTGGGGATTGTTGAGGCGTTCGAGCGGGCAGGTCTCACATGTTTTTTGTCCATTTCAGGCTCTGACGAAGACGAAGACTCCGAAACGTCCCGAAAACTCCCGGCCTAATGAAGTATTTCAATCTTTTCGAGGCTCGAAGCAAAAACCTCGCAGCTCGTAAATATCTCATCGAACCCAAGATGTTGTAAGAACAGTCTTAACCATGTGAAGGACATCCTATTTCTTACAACTCAATTTTCATCCTAGGCTTGCTATAGCCCTTAAAAAACCATCGGTGGTTCGACCTGTTACACAGCGACATCGATGGAAAAAAATCAGTCGCCATGGGACGCTGACGCACTCTCACAAGAAGAACAGAGGCAAATATTCGCTTGAAAATAAGAGGATCCCTTTCTGTGGGCAGGTCCGCGGCTGTAGAAGTTTAGCACCTCTGCCTTCCGGAAAAGCGAGCCGATTTGAAGTGAAGTCCATATGGGTATTATTCATTCACCTAACCTCTCGACGCTGCCGCTCACACGGAGAAGCGCACGCCTTAGAAAGCAAAAGCTGGCTTAGCTGGCATCTCGCAGGTGGGTCGTACCGCTCGTTAACGCACTGCAAATTGGAGGTGATGCTTATGCATTACACTCAAGCACACAAAGAGAAGCTGCACCATATCCAACAAGAACAGATTGCCACACAGTCGGCGTGGCTCTCGCGTTAAGAGCCAGCTATGCAGTGAGTTATCGGTCCCCGCTTAGTGCAGGAACGTCAAACCAGAGAAACAGTTGCAACTGGAAATCACCTTGGATGGGCCAATAGCGGTTTCTGCAAAGGTAGTTTCGGCAAAGCCGCACTTTTCAGTACAAGCTGCGTAGTTCATAGTACGTCTACAAGCTATGCCCTACTGTCTTTCCACCTTTTGGGTGTTTTTCTCCGACACCATAAAATTTGTTATAAAATTGTTCAGGGATTGCGCAATGATAAGCTGTTCGGATACTAGTCTTACTTTTACTTTTAAAAGTGACATTTTTCTTACTTGGTCAAAGTCTCGATTCGGCTGAAACCCAGTGTCTAGAGGTATTAGAAGTTGTTGCATAAGTTTTACCCCGAATGTTTGTCCTTCCGTATTTTGTTTGTAATGGATGTTGGTATATCGTCATCACGTGTGCGTGACGTGGGCACTATACTCTTTTATCACACTAGCTATCACTCACCCACCTTGCATTTGCAGGCCACAATGTCGCACAATTTCCACTGTGACAGAATGTACCTGCGCCACTGCCTGGTTTTGCTTCACGATTTCGGCTGGAATGCAAAGGAAGCCCATACCAAGCTAGTGGATACATACGGTGAGGACGTCATCTCTTACCGCACATGCAAATTTGAGAAAGGAGATTGAAGGAAAGAAAGGAATTTGAGATTTTATTCTCTCGAAGATGCTCCGAAAGGTTGGGCTCGTGCCCATAGGGAGTTGGACCTGAAAGTATTACCTTTCCACAACCACGGCGTGCGAGGAAAACCCGCCACCTAATAGCCAGCCGGAAATGGGCGCATCACGCTCCGGCATATGATTATTCGACGATTGCACAACGTGGTCTAGAAAAGCTCCGGCAAAGGTAGCAAAGCTTGGTCGATGGTCCACAATGAACTGCCCTCCTCATATGCCTCTCCCAGAGCCGATGGGGCGCCACGCCTGCACTTTCTCGTCCTCACCTCTTCCACAAAAAGAAGCTTCAAGTTTCTAAACTTCCGCATATGAATCAACTGCTAGATGCAGAAAGTGGGTCCTTCTGCCGATTAACCCTGTGCAGGAAGCGGCAGTGAGCGTTGACATAAAGGAGAACACGCCAGAAGCCACCCCAAAGAGGCCCCGCTTTACCCAAAACGTTCTTCATCCCTGGTTCCCCTGCTTGGTGGTCCCAGAGACAGAGGCATTGATAGAGTCACATGAGGGCTGCTAGCCTAGCAGCGCAAGCGGGCACAGGCTCAACACGGACTGACGTTTCCACTACGTCTCACCCAGCTGCACGGAAATTCTTGAAAGATCACGTCTACCGCACTCGTGGATCAATGGCGGAAATCTACTTCCACCATGACAACGCCCGACCTCACACCGCAAAGGCGACGCAGGCCGAGCTATAGAAGTATAGCTATGGAAGGCTGATGGTCGCCCAGCCCTCCCTACAGCCCTGACCTCGCTCCTTCTGACTACTGGCTGTTCAGCCACCTGCAGCGCTCTCTGGACGGAAAAAAGTTCGAAACAAAGGATCAGGTCAGAAAGGCACTCGACGACTTCTTCAAGTCCCAGCCCCCGTCGTTCTGGGAAGAGCATCGGGAAAATCGCAAGTGCTGCCCTGAGCGCTGGCGGCGAGATGGTTGATGTCGGTTGGGGTGCGTAGCGCGTCTAATCTTTCAAGTTGTGTCGCTATTGATGATGAAGAAAGTCGGGGAAAAACTTAGGGTTGCGGATCAATCCAGATATGTGTGACCTCCTGGGACTCTGTGTCCATCCATTTTACTTTTAAATCGCCCTAGGTTCCAGATACAAAAGACCCTGGGTGTCCATCTTAATAATATGAGAAACCGGCCTCGCATCTTGTTGGAGATGCAGACAGAGGAAATCTAGATATGTTTTTTATAATTAGTGGGGGCAATTTCCAGGGACCCTATCGAAGCACCTAAGTTTCCACTCAAAGTTCCGTGGTAAGTTGAAGAACCTCCATTGTTAGGCAAACGAGCAGTGTGCATCTAAAGTGGATAAGCACGGCCTACGCTGCTACGTCTCCAACTGGCCTGTGTGGTTTCGCTATGATGATTCCAACTACGATTCTTCAAAGTCTCAGCAGTACTTTGATCATACAATGGTAACCATATTTTCTCTATTATTCCTGGGTACAACTGAAATTTAGTTGAGAACGTCACCTGTTATCTTCGATATTGAAAACCACGAATCATTTCATCTAGGCTGTGCTGACGCACTAAAACTAAAACAGCGCTTTCTAGCCAAAATACTCGGTATACGCGGCATTTACACCTTGAATCAATTAGATCCTGGTCTGACTAAGACTAACTCGCAACATTGCCTTTTACTGCATAGTTGCAACGCAATTATTACTTCCCACACCCGACACGTTCAGCATCACTGAAAACATTTGCTACATTTCTTTGTCGGCCCAAGAGCCAGTCTTCTGCCTTATTCAACGCTGAGCTGCCGCGACCATTCCACATGCACGTTTTCGGGAAGATTTTAGGTGAAAAATTCTTACAAGGCCACTTACGTAAGTGAATGGCTCAGTGAAAACGTTGAGATCGGCTTTACTAGCGCAGTCTGCGTCCTTCGACTTCTATATAGCACCAGTGGTGATTAGTATAGTGCCTTGAACAGTGAACTTCAACGAAGTGTCTAGACAGCTGAAAAAATGTTCTGACATTTGCTATTTTAATTCAAACTAAAAAAGTTCAAACAAGGTTTAGTCAAGCTTCGTACCATGTGAGTATAATGATCAGGACTTCCCGTAGTGACAACAACCGTGAATTTCTTTAAATCACTTAAAACGGACTGATTCGTCAGAAATCGTAGCACCATAGCGTTAACAGGAACGGAACACTTCAGCACTTCTAGTCGTCGGAGTTTACAAAGCGACTGAAGCACTACATGTACAGAACGCAGACTTTCAAAAAACATTTCTCAAAAAAAGAAGGGTAAGATTCACATAGGCATCTGCAATAGAGAAAACTGAAGAAGGTCAATATCACGCACCTGATAGACTCCTCGAGAAGATATCCTTGAAAGTTTGGTCAATCGCAAGTTAGAAAGACAGCTCAACCTCTGCAATTACAGGATATCAAGGAACCATGTAAAAGGCAGTCAAAGGAAATTGACGAATACCCTGCATAAATCTACTATATCCGCGTCAGTGATGGCGAGAGAACCCAAACAAAGAGAATGGATGTTGGATGGAATCCCAGTTAACAACAATGTCAATTCCTCTCGAACAGTCGCAAAAATATTTCTTAAAAATCGATACGATTGATTTTTCTGCATATTGATCGAACCCACAACAGTTGTGTGGATTCAAAGTCGAGCCTTTATGCCAAAATCGATAAAAGGCTAACCTAATCTCAAGTTCCTCCAACATAAAACAAAATTTTAATCCATTAGTCAGTGCAGTAGTAACATCATAACTCTTCCAGTTGCCACATGCAAGTTTTCTTAGGAAAGACAACTTGCCAAGATCTGAAAAATGTTGTTAAGAGTCTAGTCAGAGCTAAGCAGTACACAACAAGTGCCTCCATTTATCGTACTCTCTTTTCCTGGTAATGTAGGCGCCGCGTACCATTAAAAAATAATTCCAAGCGAAAAAGATCTACTATAGAGAATAACTTCTCTATTTTTTACATTTCTTTACATGTAATCCATTTGTAATTTTCCTTGTCTCTCATGATGACTCATTTCTGTAAGCGCTTCTAAGCTAATCAGTTGGCTGATCAGTAGCATGAACTTTCAACATAGTGCACTATCTGTAGCTTCATCAAATGCCAGCTCGGGACCCGCCCCCTTTCAGATGCATAAATAGGGCCGAGCTGATCGCTTGTACTGTTTACTCATACTTTCATTTGCACTTTCAGCTTCACTACCGTAAACGATTTCATTGTCACGGTTATACGGCCGTATCCATATCTCGCTTGGTGATTGTATTATTTGGTTGAAAAGATAAAAGTTTAATTGACCCGCAAGTTTTGAGGTTCTTACATACGTGACGAAAAGACGCGCATGCGGTGCCAGCAATACTCCTCCGGCCAACTCCCAAGACACTAACTCAGAAGGAATACGCATTTCTGCAACGTTTGATGATTTGCGCAATCAACACTATGACCACGCTCGTCCACATATTAATGCTCACCGATACGAATCCATTCGTAAGTCGCACGCTTAGTTAAGCACTGCAGCAGCATACTTCATGACAATCTTTCTACTGGCATCATATACGTAAAAGGCTCTCTCCCTCACACAAAAGGAATCTCCGGTGAACCGCGCCTACTCCAAACACATATAATCACAAGAAGAACCGCAAATCAGAGCAAAAAAGAGAGATGACATCGACTCGACGGGACCCTAACATACAGCCGCATTCTATCGACGAACGGATTCGACACAAGGCGGAATAAATCTTCGTGAACGAGAATCGACAAGAAGTGATAAACGGCCTATCGACACAAACACAATGCGGGCAGAAGACAACAGCCCAGCTGCGCGCGTCCCGCGCCCCACGGTCAGCAGAGCGGGCGGTCTCCCCTCGGACAGCTGCGAGACCCTAGCGATAGAAGGAAATTCTAGGCAAGAGCGTGAGCCAACCGGAACCGCTCAAGGTTAGTCCCAACCAGCAGAAGCAAATTTGTCGAGCCTTAGCTAGGCGACAGGACGACCTTCGTCGCTGAACTAGGCAATGGAGAGCATAGACGTTGGCGAGATCGAAGCTCGCGTCTCAGTCGCAATACCAAAGTGTTAGCGACAAATCTGGAGTGGTAAACATTCTGTGTTTCGAGCTAACCACCCGAGATACTCGACAACCTCTTCAAATCATCTACCTCTCCGATTCTCTGTAGAAGAGGCAATAAGAGTCAGTCAAGCATTGAAGTTCGGATTTCCACGACATACCCTTATGGTTGTCGACATCCTTCAAGAAAGATACGGTGCTAAACCAGGACTATGGTGAAGAACTCTTAACACGTCTGAAGAACGAGCCTTTCTCATGATTAAGCGCTGGGACGTGCAATTTTTTCTCCACTGAAACTTATGTAAATTTCCAATAAACAAATTCGATGACCAATAATGTATGCGAGAAGCAAGAGACTAGAATAGCGCAATCTCGAATCTGTTACAGCAATTTAGCTCTCCTTATTGCCAGTACTTCCAAAATCAGGCCATTTTTTAGCAGATTCTTAATCTTGGAGACACGAATGATGACTTTTGTTTCCCGGTTGGTGTTTGATGCTCCTAAAGAAATACGCATCTCGTACTTCGAAATTTTTGTTTCTGACTAATTTATGCAAAAAGTGAAACATCGCGACACATACGTGTATATCATATTTAACTGTAGGGGAAGCATAATGAGACGCTTTTCCCACAAGAACAGAACTTTCTGTCTCTCGACCACCATTGACGGAAATCGTCGAAGCACCACCTGCGTTGTAGATGGAGACCATCGATATCTTGTTGGGGGGCGGGGGGTCGGTTGCAACCGGTAGGCAAAAGTTTTAGCGGAATTTGATTCGATCTAGGAACATTTTGGCGTCGGGCGCCAGGCATTTTGTTGGTCACGATGTGACATTCTGCTGTCAGGATCGATCTTAAACTCTCACGAAAGCAATTGTTTCAGCGATTTTGTGACCTAAGGAAATTTTGGCCACGCCTGTGGCGCGGGCGCCCGGGCATTTGCCGCGGGAAACGAATTGAAATTCTGTTTAGAGTTTCAACCAAGCTACCCCCCGAAACAAGTTCAGCCTTTTGTGACCTAAGGTAGTTTGGCCCTCTAGCCTCGATGGCGCCGGGCGGCCGGGCAGTCCGGGCCAAACCACTGTGCTGCTCGTTTCAGAATGTCAGCCTACTCATATAAACATCTTTGAGCAAACTTGGTTGCTCACACGTCTTTATTTAATTTAGAGCAGTAGCTAGTGGACAGCATTAGTCCGACACCGACCCAAATGAGGACCACGACTGGGCGTCGCCCACTTCATTAGTCCGAGTTCACCGTCACCTGTCAACTATTAAGGAAACTCCACAGTTGCGCAGCTAGAAGCGGACACCTTCCGGACCAGGAGCGACTGTGGGAAGAGGTCACGTCCATTGTGGCTCAACTGCAGCTCAAGGGAGAACACGTCGATAATACCTTCCTCCAGAGGCAGGTTATGGGCAAGTTTTCAGGAGATGTTCAACGAGCGATCCTTCGACAGAAGCAGCATCAAGCTCCAACGGAACCCTGGACTACCCGGAAGCTTCTGGATGCTGCGATCGAGTACATCAAGGCGGAACTGAGCATTATCCGCCAAGTAGATGCTACAATGGAAGAACAGAGCCAGCATCGAAAGCAGAAAGTCAGCGGTCAGGAACAACGAAACACTAAAAGCAAGGCACGTCGCTTTACGTGTTTCTACTGTCAGAAGCCAGGACACTCACCAAAGGATTGCGAGGAAGTCAGAACACGAGAGAAAAGACCCGCGTGGCAGCAATCTCCATCGGCCTCGATAGCTTATCTACAAGGGAGAACTCGTCCGACCACGACTTTTCTTCGCCTTATGCACGTGCAAGCGGGGTTCACCACTGGGTTCTACAAGTAGCATTTCGGGGGCTTTTCCTGGTTTTTCCTCACCTTTGTGTTACTGTCATTAGCACTGGGTCGCACAAATAACTAATGTTGAACTCGGTGCGTGTCTTAACCTTAAAAGGTGCGGAGACTGCGAAACACTCATCACATCCATACTGTTCAACAGCCATGGAGAGCTGTTACAAGTGCAGAAACAAACCTTATCAAAGGCATGTGTCTGGAGGAAGCAGGCGGCGTGATTAGATCGCTCATACTCTGTTCATCTGTTCTTTCTTAGTCTACCGGTAGAGCAGGTGGTCGTTGATACGGTGAGGGGGGGGGCATAGGCGAGCATCAAAAGCATTGCTGCCTACGCCCTCCTCTTCACTTGACAGTTTCTATCAAACAGTAAAACCGGAATTAAAGAAGCTAACACAGTGGAAAAAAACAAACTACTCACGGCTGAAAATATGGCTGACATCTTCAGCTTCTTGACGGCTTGCTGGTTGCACAAAGAGGTGTAGTTCCGTAATCTGCAAGGTCGAAGCAAGTCAATCCATCAAAATATAGTAGGCGTTACTACCAGCAAAAAAATAACATCAAAGATAGTTCTCGTGTGCAACAAAGTGGTAGGCATCCTTCTTTGTACAAGAAGTCTTGTCCTCGGTCTCTAAGTATGTCCCACTTTCGTGGCTTCTCATTAAGAGGCGAAGGAGCTGCGGCCCTCAAAGTGGCTGTTTTGACGCCTCCCTAGCTACTCTGCCCATCAAAGTTGAAAAGCTATTATTTGTCTCCACTTTGGTTTTACATATGTTTTTGGTTTGTTTAAAACTGTTATGTGGTTCTAGCATTGGATGACGAGACCAAATGATTGGCGGCAGGATCGCTTTTCTATCGAAAGACCGAGCAAGTCCGGAAAACCCGTTCAGTGAGCCTGCTCGGTGTGCTTAGGGTGTTCCTCCACGACTTTTTTTGCTTTTTTTTTCTTCCTTGGAGCATCGCGTAGTGGACATAGGTTTGTAAACATACGCCACCACCCGTAAAATGCGATCGAAGGGTTTGTCTTTGAGCAATAAAGCTAGGCGAAGGCCAGTGGGCTGACAATGCACAAGCGCATACTTTATTCCCAGTTGGGTGTCCCTCGTGGTTTGTGGGTATTACCGTTGTACTAGAACGTACACGATGACGAGACTACCATTAATCTTCTTTTTTTGGCCTCTCTCCTTCACCGAACTAAGGCAGCGCCAATTTTAGAACGCTACACTTCTTATTTCTGAGAATTCATCGGGAATACTTACGTTTTCTAAGAGTATAATATTCCGCATGGCGAAGAGTAGAGCTTCTCCACTTCGACGAGGACTGTGCACACCAATGCGAAGCTCTCTAGTCACTGTAGACATATTATCCACGAAATTACGGATAGCAGGTACCGACATTTCCCTGGATAAAAAGGTATGAAAAGGTGGAATTTTCTTTTTCATCGACTGCAAAGATAGGTAGCACGATAAAGAAATTGAATGTAGCAAAATTGTTGTAGAGCATCATCCTTGACAGCAAAGCTATCCTGGAGCTCTCGAACTCCCTAAGGTAAAAGAAAAGAATGCATTACCAAACCTACTGAAAAGAAGATGGATTCAGTAGAATGTGTATGTCATCCAGAACCATCTCTTGATGTCGTATCCGATCTAACAAGGCGGAGCCTAACTGCATCACCTTGAAGTTCTCCAGCGTCAGTACACGTAAGGACGGTGCTACTATTCTCTGGAAGCGTTTTCTCGATTCCAAGAAGCTTTGAGAACATGATGTACTACTTGATGCAGAATGTGACTTGAAACGAGTTCTGCGGTAATCACAGAACAGAAAAAAGATACCCGCGGTACAAGGCAATCATCATCGCGATTCTGGGTCACTTTGTTTCTACAGAGCACACAGCTACGACATCACTTTTCAGTCACTCTAGAAAGTCAGTACCATCCCAGTTGCAAATACGGCCACTGTTCTCTAAGTACCCAAAAGATAGAGCTATTGATACTTCCGACTGACATTATGCGCCATATCGGAAAGAGAATATCACTCCAGCACGACATGGAAAATTCTCACAAAGGTCTCTCAGCCCCGCGCTTCAACCGACACCATAAATGAAGAGTTTAAATTTTTACACGCACATAAATCCACAACATCGACGGTTTCTATGATGGTTGCCGACTGCTGGAATGGACCATCCATTACGTGAGCAGGATAGCTGCAAAGTAGTAACGTTGCGTCTTTCAAGTCCAAGTTGGTGGAGCTCCCAAAACTTCCCCACGTAAAACCCTAGGGCAGGTAAGGGCGACATAAACGCCAGTCGCTTGCACGGACGCGGTACTTAGATCTTACCGCAATCGATGCGCGCTCATGTCCGTGCACTCCATGCTCCCAGCAGCCTTCTCGACGCACAGGTGCTCGGTCCGTCGATGATATGATGATATCGACTCATTTGACGGAGAATCGCTCGTGAATGTCAACGCTTACACTCAGAGAAAGCCGAGCGAGAGCATCACTGGCGGAGGCAACGCCCTCAAGGGGGGTCTCAGCAGGGAGCAGAGTCGCGACGCACCGCACAGGGCATACTGTGCTAAAGTGCATTAGCCGTGGAGCCGCAACACGGTCTAAGCACAGGTGCACTCAATATACACCTTCAGTAGGACAAAAAAACTTTACCATTCAAAATGTGGAACAAACGCAGCAAAGGCCTCACCGAAAATGGTGAGATCAATGTCGTCATGTCGAACCAAATGCTGCACAGTGATAATTCTCGAATACGATGAGGGAGCGAGCACTCTTCCGAAGATACTGCAAAATAAGAGCATAGCCAGAAGCGATTCCTACTGAGGGTGCGACCAAACGAAATGTCTTGGCGCCGATGTAGCAAGGCACGCGGTAGAGAAAATTACCTGGTAGGACATCAAGATGTCGTGTTATTGACGTTACAGCTAATGACTACTTCGCTTAAAACGTCACTGACAATGATCCTACACTGGTCTTTTCGTCACTAACGTGTTATGTGACACGTTAACAGGCAGCGTTAAGCAGCGTTCAGAC